ATATGAGGGACGAGTTTAAAGCGCGAGTTGCGATAAGCATCGTCCCCATTCACAAAACTCTGTAACAAAGGATGCTCTTCCAGAGGAGTTTTCAGCATGTAGTACAACGCTAGACTGTACATTGCCGAACCGGGGACCTGATTTACACATTATTTGTTATTTCAAGTCTATTTACTTTTAAAAAAATCAATGATTCTTTAGAATAGAAGCTCTTAATTCACCTGTATGTTTACAACGAAGAAAAACTCTGGACCGCCTTTTGCTGCAAATTCCTGAACTAGACCACCTACTCGTCCACCAAGATCATCTTCCCGCTTATCTGAACTTATCCAGTCTGCTCCAATCATTTGCATCAATGTGCCTTTGGCCTTTACCTATAGTTTGATAAGTACCAACATTATCATCATATGTATTGGTTAAGCGTTTAAGATTCAACAAGACGCAGAAACACATTTTATGTAGTTGGATTACCTTCTGGTGATCTTCTAGATAATTGTTTCCGCGAATCAGGAATGTGGATGGATCCGCGGTAGACCAACTACAAGGCAGAGTGAGATTTGGGTCTTTTTGAAGAGTGGCTCCATAGAAGAATGTGTTATTTTCTTCCAAACCCATCTCTTGCAAGTCCATATAGCCTTTCTTGTTAATGGCTAGATCTTGAAGTTTCTTGACAATACCAGCTGGTTTTGGTATCTTGAGCTACAACACACACATCTTTCAAATTAGTTTGAACTACAAGCAAAGTGGTTAAGCAGAAAATTACCTGATGTCCTTGAGAAAAAGGAGAGTTATCAATAAAGCTATCGAACTCTGTGGACTCGTTGGGCTCAGGAACGTCGAAAAACTCATCAGAAGCATCATTTAAGTCCATCAAACTATTGCGTGCTGAAGAAGGTTTATCCATTTCCTCAGCCTTCACAGTCTCTTGATTAACCTCTTTGGCCTCTGTTTTAAGGGGTTTGGTGTTGACCTTGGACAAGCAGGGTTTGGTTACCGCGAACTCCCCTGACACGAACTCAGTGAAGCCATGTCCTTGTTTCGCTTTAAACATTTCGCGTAAAGCGGCAACCCTCTCAACCACACGGATGGTAATGGATCTTGCAGAAGATGGCCTCATGTATAAGTTCCAGCTTCTCCAGTCAATGGCTACCATATGCTTCACTAGTGAATGTTTCCCTTTGTTCACCGGAGTCACCACGTAACCACCACCTACATTTTGATGTCCCTTAGATTCTATATTTTTAGATCCCTTTTAAAGGCATTCTAATGAAAAACTAAACTAGGATTTGAAGTAAGAAACTTTACTTTTGACACAAGCGCGAACGTATCCCCTCTTTGGTGGGCACTTCTTGTGATAAACAGAGTGACAAAGTATCACTGTGATATTCAAAGTAAAGAAGGTTATAAACCTGAAAACTCAACAAATCAAGAAAACTCAAGAACACTATCATACCATAAGTTCCATCTTCTTCTCTTCTCCAGTAGCGTCGCAACAATAAGTCTCTTCGATTCATGCCCCATGGCAACCAATCACTATACAACTGCATATTAATTATATCAGTGTGTCCATCAAGATGCTCCACCACACTGCCTTTGTAGAAACAGAAGTCCCATCTGCATGAAATCCAGAAAATTTTCTATCTCTTAATATATATCTATAATAACTATGTAAATCCAAACGAAAACCATATGAATTTATCCAGTTAAAGAGTTTATAGTGGCCAACGTGGAAACGAAACCAAGTGAGAATCTTATAGGAAAGTTCTCAAAAGTAATAGAGCATACTCTGAGCGTAAGGGACCGAGCGACATTAACGTATTGAAAATATCCTCTGATGTTCCTTCAATGACCCCAACCGCCATTATTGCTGCGTGATCATCCCAGTGCTGCAAGAGGTTTCAGCAAAAGGAAATATAAGTTAAGAAACCAACTACGTGATTCACAATTATGAGGAAATATAAATATTACCCTTCCGCGGGAATCCCAGTCTTTAGCTTCTTTAAAAAGGCGTAAACCTGAAATTCAAAAGCTCGATAAGGCCAGAGTTTTTCTTGAAAGGCAAGAAATTAAAATTGTCTTCTCACTCACCATTTTGGCATCCAAAGATTTTCCATGGGGAAGGTGCAATGACATCAGGTGCTACTGTTTCAACATTTAAGGATGATGATGAGTAATTTGTGGCTGAGTAATTTGTCCAGTCCACAGAGTTTTTGCGGCGTGACCTCTTTGATACATCAAGCTTCACAAGTCCCTTCTCAGCATGCGATACAAATTCGCAATCCGGAAACGGAAAGCCCTAGAAACATAACATTCAATATGTATAAGAGTTTTTCAAATCTTATAAATTACAATGTATTAAAAATGTATAAAGTTTTATTGAAACCTTTTGTGAAGCATCTTGTAATGATCGGATCCATTTGGCTGCTTCCTCAGGACTACTTGCTCCCAACTGTTCAGAGTCACAAAAAAAAAAAAAAACCAACTGATTAGTAAGACAAACAGAAGCCAGAGATGGTGTAAGAGACAAAACTTGCCAAACAAACCTTTAGTTCATCCAAATGGTTCGAAGTGTTGTAAAGCGTGAATATGAAAAGGATCTGAAACAGAACACACATGCATGGAAAATAAAATACTAATAATCTTCGGCAAACTATAGAAATTTGTAACTCATATTAGTATCTAGAAATTGGTATACCTTCCTATGGAAACTCTCTCTTCCATTGTCTGTGACGCGAATACAGCAATCCAAAGTTGCTCTTCTGTCAGGTTCCTACACAGAAACAAAACTATAAGAACATAAAGTTTGTGGTTCTCCCTTTCATCGAATGGAATGGCTCATTTGCTTACTCATTCACGTTACATCTGTACGCAATCCATTAGACATGAACAATAATACAATATGTATACACAGTACTACGAAAGGAATGAAAAGATGTGAAAAACAAACCTCATTGTGATCGGATGGTACAGATTTGAAGCTTGTAAGGGTGTTGTCGACAAGAACGAAGTATCGTTTACGGGAAAATTGAAGGCCAAACCGGTTCTGTCGGATGGTGTAAAGCCAACCTTCCATTCTTCCGTCACTTTGAGGCACTCCCATTTCTCTACAAATTCTTGTTTTACTTTAGTTTTTTTTTTTTTTTTTTTTTATCAAACGATTCAATATTCAATATTCATAAGGAAATGGTTTTATACCACTGGAAATGCTTCTTCCCCGTAAATGAGTAATATATTCGAGATTACAAAAAACGTATTTGTCTCTAAATGCGTAACTTGAAGCGATTCTCTGATTCCGCCGAAGCGAAACAGAGAATCAAAAGTATGGAAGATCAGTTGCAAAGAAAAAAGGTTTGTTGTTTATTGTGTTTGTTACTATATTTTTGTTTTTCTCTCTCGATCAAGAGAGAAAAAAACAAACAAATCTTTGGTTCTCTTCTTTTTTTTTTATGGGCGTTACTTTTTGTTTTGGTTATAAAAATTTAACATGGTTGGTTAAAAATTGCTTGCTATTTAATGGTTGGCGCTTCTGCCTTGGACTTTAAAATTCTATAATTAGTTTTTTTTTTTTTTTCAAAAGCTAAAGTCTCTAAATTGTACGGTGAAAGACTGACCAATTAGTAGAATAGTTATCGGTTAATCAGATTCTCTATTGGATTTGAAGCAACAAGAACAACCACATTACGCTATTGAGTCTTTCGAAACTAGACGAGGACAGAGAAAGGAACAGATTCAGTTCGTAACAAAACAATAACGGGCCTAAACCCATCAATATGTTTCACACGGCCCAAATATATTTTTTTGGTCGTACGGCCCAACATATTGTTTTGACTTTTCTGTTTGGTGCAGAAAAAAAGTGAAAAGAACAACGGAAAATACTGTAATATAAATTTTTGATATATTGATCATATGTACTATAGAAAGAAACTCATATAATACCCGAAAAACAAGAACATAACAAAGTTAATCATTGTACCTTGTGTTGTGACATCTCCGAAGAACCAATGCATCTTCTTCTTTCTCCTTTGACATTAGTATTCCTAATCTTAAAAAGTTGATTCAAGTTTTTTTAAAATTCACAATTTTCAAACCTAAACTTTTTTTTTTTGAGTAAAAGCAACAATGTAGATTAGTTGTAATAGTATTCAGCCTTCTTTACTAAAATATATCAAAGAAACATATATATATATAAATTGAAGGGGAAAAAAATAAAGACAGCTTAAAGAAGAAGTACCAACAACTCCTCCACACAAAAACAAAAGAAAAACAGAGGTACCTGCAAAATAACCCAACTTGGGGCCCCTGCCATTACTTAATACTTACTATTTCCCTTTTCTTTCTTTTTCTCTTCTTCCTGTTGTTTGTTGTTTGCCTCTTAATTCTTGCATCACTCTCTTCTCTCTCTCTCTCTCTCTCTCTCTCTCTCTCTCTCTCTCTCTCTCTCTCTCTAAACAACGCGTGCGAGATGTGGAACGAAGGATCGTGTGATTGTGAGACGGGGGCAAAAAGCTTCTTTTTGAGTTAGGGAAGCGCGGGTTAAATAGTACAAAAGAATTTCTGCGAATATCTTTCAGGCTATCTCGGCTATCTCATTCTCCCACCCCCCCTCTTCCACAAAATCGAACGAACTGATTAGGGGGGTTTGTGTACAATGTCATGCTTTCTCACAACGCATCTTATCTGCAATAAGGATAAACGTTCGCACGGACAGATGTTGTTTGACTTAACAAGCCCTTTCTGTCTGTCTTGATGTATATT